GGGGAGCCTTGCTGGCCTCCGGGAGCTCTCTGTTGATGTGTGCGCGAGAGAAGCGTGCATGCGCCGCCAGCACGTCACCGGAAGTGACGTGTGACGTCGAACACGTTGAGGGCATGGCCCCAATCATCGGAGGGAAAACCATAGAGTTTTCCCTCCGACGATTGGGGCCACGCCCCCAACGTGATCGACGTGGTTGTGTCACCTCCGATGACGTAGCCACGCTGTGCTTCGGGGGGGAAGCGGGGGTTTACCCGCCACCCGCCCCCACTTGGCAGCCCTAGTCTTCTCCAGCGAGTGCTCCCTGGGTGGTATTTGAGCTTCAGTTTCAGTACCTGGCCTTCCAGGGAACGGTCAGGGCTGATTTCTTTTAGGATTGACTGATTCGATCTCCTTGCAGTCCAAGGGATTCTCAAGAGTCTTCTCCAGCACCATAATTCAAAAGCCAGGGACTAAGGTTGCCAAATCCACGTTGGGAAACTCCTGGAGATTTGGGGATGGAGCCTGGGGAGGACAGGGACCTCAGAGGGGCCCAATGCCATACAGTGCACCCTCCAAATCATCCATTTTCTGCAGGGGAACTGATCTCTGTAGTCTGGAGATAAGCTGTAATTCCAGGGGATCCTCAGCTCCCACCTGGAGGCTGGCATTCATAGCAACCATTTTGTGGAAGCCATTTTGTGGCTGCGCCCACCATGTTGTGTCAGAATTCCAAAGGTGCTCACAGGCTCAAAAATGTTGGGGACCCCTGCTTTACAACAGTCCTGTAGCCCAATGTTGTTATTCTGTGTTTAGCACATTTTTATCCCATTTTCCTCCAACGTAGCAGACATAGCTCTCCTCCATTTTGTCCTCATAACAAACCAGTGAAGTAGGCTGGGCTGAGAGAGAATGACTTGCTTTCACTTCACGACAGAGATTTGAACTTGGGAATCTCTGGGTGTAGAGCCAGTTTGGTGTAGTGATTAGGAGCGCATACTCTAATCTGGGAGAATTGGGTTTGATTCCCCACTCCACATGCAGCTGCTGGTGTGACCTTGGGTCAGTTACAGGTTCTCTCAGAGCTGTTCTCTCAAGGGCAGTTCTTAGAGCTCTCTCAGTCTCATCTACCTCACAGAGTGTTGTGGGGAGGGGAAGGGAGATTGTAAGCCTCTCTGAGACTCCTTTGGGTAGTGAAGGGCAGGGCATAAATCCAATCTCTTCTCTCTCTTCTTCTTCTAACACTGGCACACCTACACTGCAAAAAGGATGCCAATTTGAGATACACAGTGGCTCGAAACAATCCTACAACACAGTCCAGGATTGCGGGGAGGGCGGGGTATAAATGTGATTAATAAATAAATAAATAATTTCCCATATTGTGGGGGTATGATTGTGCCTGAGGATATACAACAGCTCTGCAGTGCAGTAGGGTCACCAGCACCAGGTCGGGAAATACCTGGAGATTTTCGGGGTGGAGCCTGAGGAGGGGGGATTTGGGGGGAGGAGAGAGGCTTCAATGGGATATGCAGGGGTGTCAAACATAAGGCCCAGAGGCTGGAACTGCCCCCATATTCACACTTCCCCAGTTTCTTCTGCACACTGGGGGCCTATTCCTGCCACTAAGCACATGAATCGGTGGTCCGGCCTCCCTCCCCCATGGAACACCAGGCAGCCATCACCTGTAGGCGGCTGCTACTTCATGGGAGGGTGGTGCCCGCAATCTCTGGCCATACTGGTCACTGGGCGGCCTGGGGCCTCTGCCACACGTACACCCTTGCGCACACGGTGCCCGCTCCTCCGTCAGATGATCCGGTGGCCTTTGGCCTGGGGTGGCAGCCACAGAATAGGGGTGGGACGGCATGCCAACAATCTCTGCCCTGGGGTGGCAGCCACAGAATAGGGGTGGACTGTATGCCAACGATCTGTAAGCCCCAGCATCACCCCACCATGGATCACCTGGCAGCCTTGGATGGTGGCGACTGCTGCAGCACAGGCCTCTCTGGCTCATCAGGCTTTGCTTGGCCTGGGTCCTGTTGTGCATGTGGCCTTGTGGCCACCCCCCCCCACACACACACACTTCTACAGGCAGGGTGGTTAGTTCAACTTGTCCTCCCAGTCCCCTTCCATAGTAGCTCAGGGGCAGGGGGGAGCTTGCAACACCCAGCCGCTTTGCGTTTCTACCCTTGGCCCCGGGCTCACAGCATTGGCAGTGGGAGTGGGGTAGGGTTGGGGTTTGTCCCCCCTCCAGGCAGTGCAGGGCCATCTGCCCAAGCGCTGCACTGCTGGCTCTCCAGTCCACCCATGTGGCTTTTCCTCTGCCTCCCCAGGATATGGGGTCTTGCAGTGAGGACTCACCAACTCGGGGCTTACCAGCTACTGTCCTTTATAAAGTTTGTATCTCTGGCACCCAACACCACATTTTATGGCACACATGGCCTGGCCCAACAAAGTGACATTTACGTCGGATCTGGCTCTTGTAACAAATTAGTCTGACACCTCTGCATAGAGCCCACCTTCCAAAATGGCCATTTTCTCCAGGTGAAGTGATCTGTCGCCTGGAGATAAGTTGTAATGGCAGGTCTCCAGGCACCACCAGGAGTTTGGCAACCATACAGTGCAGCTCGGTGTCCTTATTGTCAATATTCTGGGCTGTGTTTGAGGGTGAGACAAATCTGCAGCATCAACCCTGCAATGTGGCCCAGTTTCATTTTATCCCTTAGGAAGACTAATTTCGTTGGACTAGGGTCAAGGTTGCTAAACAAAGGGTTGCCAACCTCCCGGTAGGGCCTGGAGAGCTGGAATTACAACTGTCCAAGATCAGTTCCTCTGGAGAAAATGGCTGCTTGGGAGGGTGGACTCTATGCCATCACGTGCCTTGCTGCGATCCCTCACCTCCCCAGGTTCCACCCCCAAATATCCAGGAATTCCCCAACCCGGAGTTTTATTAAACACTCAGCAGGGCTGGAAGCTGCACCACCAGCCCACTTTCTACTAGAAAACTATTTGGCACCGGCAGCCTTCCCCACGCCTCGTGCCCCCCGTTCACTTGCATGAACCCGCCGCCCCCTCCAAATGGAAAACGGAGACATCTACCCCTCCCCGCCCAGAAACCGGAAGCGAAGGGCGTGCCACTCTAGCGCCTCCGGCTCTATGGCCAGGCCCCTCCATCGGACAATGAAACCATAGAGTGGACAAGGGGAGGGGAGGGACGCGTAGGCTGGAGGCGCCGCTCTGCCTGGCTGGAAGCGGGGGGCCTCTATGGTGCCAGGAGACCCGTCCGGCCAGCAGCTGCAGCAGCGGAGCCAAGAGGGGTCTTCTAGCAGCTGTGCAAAGGGTGGGGGCGCTTGCAGTCTGGAGGGGGGG